CACACACACACACACACACACAGCATGCTACTGTCGTCTTCTTTCTAAACAGTCCAACATAGGATCAGCCGTTTCCTCAGCTTATGGGCTTCCTGCTTGGTATCTAATATTTCCCATAAAGATGTTTAGACCTTTGCTGTCCTCTTTAGAAGCTGCAGGAAGCTTCTCAATCATTCTGAGTGGAATGAGAAAAACATCCACTTCTAGCTGGATTTATCTAAAGTAATAAAACTATCACACTAAAGGTTAAACCCATCATATAAGTCACATGACAGGAAGTGAAACCTGCTGTATGAACCGGAGTAAATGACCCAACGATGACGTAGACTAAAAGTGGGTCTTATCCTTCTAGATCCACAGGGTCCGATCTTTTCCACGAGTTTAGATAGAAGACGACGGTCGTCTTCAGTCGGGACAGGATTGAGCTTTGCTTAGACTGATGGAGGATTCTAGACACCAAACCGTCTTAATAAGCTAAAACATTAATGATGGCGCCAAAAGCTTGATAAAACGCAGTCAGACATTGTTAGAAAATGTAAATGTCATCATTTTATTTGTATTAACTTCCAGGCATTAGGCCTGTTAGGAACCTTCTGTTGTTTTAACTTCAAATGGGAGAGCCAATGGTTCCCCCAGGGCCCGGCCTTATGCTGCTGCATCTCACTGATCATCAGTCATCAACTGTCACGCTTTATCATGTGTAAACTTCTGACTCCTCCTGTTACGCTTTTGAAGTCTGAAGGCAGCGGACAGAGAGGTCCCAGCAGATCTGACCACAGACATTTCTCCAGATCTTCTTTCTCCAGTTCCTTTTCTGCAGAAAAGGAACTTGTCCAGGGATTAAAGCAAAGAAATCCTGAGCTAGAGAGAGTGAAAGGAAGATTGCACAAATGATTGAAGACTAAATTTGACATTTGAAAATCCAATACCAAAAATGTCCAGAAGATGGCAATAGTGCGTCTATATCTACCTACAGGAACCACATTTCTTTTGATATCCAGTTTTGCTGCTAAGCCTTGTTCGATGAGCAAAGCATAAACCCTTATTTTTTTTTACTTAGTCAGTGATTGACGCTGCTACATCAGCTGTTGCCGTAGCTCCTTGTAGTGTGTGCGGCCGCACGAACAGCAGCTTGATGACCAGGGTCTACCTCCTGTTAGCGTAGCACCTTTTAGCCGCTGGATGCGTAAATAAGCGTTCCTGGAGCGCAGCGTGCAGAAGCTAGCGCCTGGTTGACCTGACTTCCTGCTCCAGCTGCTAAACGCCATCTGGCCCCCCGTCTCCTCTAGCCACGCCCAGCGCCATTTATTTTTCAGACCTTTATCTGTGGTGGTGACATCTTCCCAGGAGTTCATGAACTGCCCACTCCATGCCATTCCGTTCTCTCTATCGTCCTTCTCTCCAAAAACGTTGTTGGGCTGCTGGATCAAACCTGGAACTCAACGCTGTTTATGACATTTTTTTATTAAAAAAGCTTCCTGGATGGAAGAGAAACGTCTTCAGTGAGCTGGACTTTGCACCTCTGAGCAAAGTCCAGAGGATTGTTTCGAATTTTTTTTGGAATTATGATCTATTGATTGCTGCTGACTGGACTTTTCCTTTATGATCAGAGATTTTGGAGCAGCCTAAAAGGAATAGAAACCTTTCAGCCGTTGCCTTTTTAATTTAATTTTCTCGTTGTGTCATCCTTCTCCACTCGATGTATCTGAACAAAAGTTACTTTCCAACTGACTCTTAGTTTATTTACCGTTTTTACTGAACTTGATTAAAAATTCTGGACCAGCAGCATCCTCATTCACATTATGATAAATGTTTACATTATTTTTTGCCTGCATGTAAACATATCAAAGATATTTTCAATTTAAATGTAGACATGAAATAATACAATATAATCTATAATAACTAGCTCATCAGATCTATTCAGTTTAATCTGTCCATTCAGCTGCCTGTAGTGTCTCTAAATGTCCAGCAGGTGTCAGTATTGTGTCAGACAGTATCAATGCAGCATCAACACAGTTTGGTTCAGGATGCCTCATTAACCATCATTACTAAATCAAATACTCTTAGTTTAGATTTCTGAGCAGAAACCAGAAGCTGCTGCTCAATACCAGAAAATAAAATCTGAAGGTCTGATAAACTATAATCCTGGTGGAAAGGTGACTCCGCTCCGTATTTCTACGTCGACGGTCGTTTCTGCTTTTTAGAAACGACCGTTGTGGAATTTTAAGCAACAACTTCCTGTTTAATGCAGCAAATGTTTTCTGGAGCAGAAATCATCAGAATCAGAGCAGCTGCTGTAGCTCCCAGATCTGCTGGGTCCTAATTCATGCCGGTGACGTTAAAACCTGAACGTTTGTTATTAAGCTACTTTTAACTTCCTGTTAACAACTGTTCATTTTCTACAAGCAGAATAACTGTTTTATTAGCCTAAAATCTCTATGAAAGTCATTTTTTAAGATCTCAGATCTTAATAAAAAGAATAAAAATAAGCTGAGACTTATTCTGTCACCTCGTCAAATAGCAGAGCTCAGTCAGCCTTTCCTTCCAGACTGACAACGATTGTTTTCTACTTCCGGCTACTTTAGATCGCAAATGAAACGTCAAATAATAGCAAATTTAGGAAATAATGTGTTGAGACTCCAGAAGAGATTTGATCGTTAAGAAATGGGTAAAACACAGTTTGTCGGAGTGGAGATGACGTCATAAGAAGGGGCGGGGCCCCGAGCAGATCTGGTTCCTGCAGCAGAAGTGCAGCTCCTTCCAGCTCCTCTCCTGTTTCAGCCTGATCATCCGTATCATAAAGACGTTTTTAAGTCTAACATGTTAGAAATGATGAAGCTGAAGCATAAATGACGCCTACCTCGGACTATCACTCTGACTGACATAACCAGGCAGAAGAGCAGCTTGAGAGCTTCAGCCAGCAGGTTGACAGACGCAGGCAGGAAGTCATACTTGTTCTCTGAAAATAAAGCAAAAAAGAAAAGAGTTTGAAGAAGCTGTAAGAAATATTAATAATATAATCGGTTCCTTCCCTCACCGGCGTTGGCAGAGAATTTGAGCAGCACAATGCGACTGGTCCCCAGCGTGACAAAGCCCAGGCCGAGGGCCAGCGTGTAGGCCGAGGAGCGGGAGCAGAGTCTGGGGCAGGACGAGCGGCGCACCATGGCTCCAACCGGCCGGAAGCTTCTCACTTCCACCTCAGGTTTTAAAATCTGTAACACAAATAATGAGGATGATGTCAGAGGAAATCACCCGATTCAGCATCATCTACAGAACGCAGCTTAAAGTGGAGCAACTTAGCGGGAATACAGATTAAAAACTCATCATACACACGCCGAAGGGCCTCGTTCATCCGTTAAAGGTCCGGCTGGGGCGTGACAGGGTGGAGGGGGGGCTCACTGCAGAGCGTTTCAGTGAGACTCAGGAACCAGGACTGGTCCATGGGGTCCAAACCAACATCTCAGGACCAGCTGGTCCAAACAAGCTTGCTTCTTATTTCTCAACATCCATCCCAGCTTTTACTGTCGTTCAACCATCAAAAGCACAAAGCAATGACATTTAATCGCTGCATTTAACCACTTGGTGAGCAGTGGGCTGCCATTGTGCAGCACCCGAGGAGCAGTTTGGGTCAAAGGGCTGGTTATCCTCCTGCAGCAGTGTGTCGCAGATATTTTTGATTTACGCCCAACAATGAAGCATGGTCTGCGCTATGTTATTCCACGCCACATAAATCAGCTTTAAAGGGCTGATAGAATGATTCTATAGGGTATCTGGTCCTTCAGGTCTCTAATAGGGTGATAGAATGATTCTAT